CCCCAAAACCCCAAAACCCCAAAACCCCAAAACCCCTTTATCCTAAAAGTTATATATTTTATTTAGTGCAATCTTAGTAATGTCTTAAAACTTTTTGCGAACATTTTCAATCCAGATCTGACTGTGATTTAGAAGATAAATTTATAATGGCTCAGTATAAGGTGACTAATAGCGAGATGAAAGTGCTCGATGGCAGGCCTGAGAAGGTAGATCAAGGTAGGTGATTCCTGGTTGAGAGACTTATGCATTGGTTTAGACCTGAACGATGCGGCTCTTAAGAGTCTAGATCTTGAAGAGTTTAGTAGAAAGCAGATGTTGGATGATTATAGAAGAGGTTTTAAGGAGGATTATAACCATAAATAAGCAAATACAAATGACTGAGAAGATTAAAGGGGAAAGAGACAGACAAGAATACATTAGGATGTGCAATGGTAAGCTTTAAACACATTTTATTTTGTGCATTAAATATCATGTAATACTTGCTCTATCTTTTTAATATAGAGAACTCTGCTAAAGAGATTCAGAATGAGAAAAATTTTAAGCAAAAATTTATTGATTTCGACCAAAAACAGACTCAAATCAACAATAAGTTTCAACAAACTGTGTTAAAGGATTATTCAAGGAGAAATAAACACAAAGATGCTATTACTAATAATAAACCTGCTTATTATGATAGAATTGAAGGGGAATATTACAACTATCTTACTGACAAATCTAATAGAATGAGGTCAGCTTGGCAGTTTCAGAAGGATAAGATCCAACAAAAGTACAATGAGGTCAGCAGAATTCCAGAAATGAAGACCAAGATGGGAGATAGCAGCTATAAGAAATTCCAAGAGTACCAAGAAGAGCAAAAGAAGATGAGACAGGACAATAAGAACATGCAAACACAATACGCTGGATTACTCAAAACTCAGGTTGACATTAAAAAGGATAGTAAGAAAGTATCTGAAGCAGATAAGCCAAATAGCATTTTCATTGGAAAATACAAACTCCATAGAAACTCTAGCTTGCCTATGATTCCAGGGATCCATTCTAATTCTTCTCTAACTGGAGTTGGAGACCTTGACTCGTTCACTAATAAATTCAAAGGAAGCAGGGTACCTCAAGAGGCACTTGAAGAGAATAGAAGAACAAGAAACTTATTGAACTCTTATAAAACAAGTATCCCAAATGCTAAATTAGGAAAATCTGCACTGAAAAACTCAAGTAAGATTTCTATTCTATTTCTAGGAAATACTTTAAGAAAGTCAGGATTATCCACTCTTGGGAGCACAGGAAATAATAGGTACTCTACCTTTGATGGAAGTAAGTCATAATAACTGACCTATAGATTCCCTACATAAGGTAAATACCAAGACAACATCTGTTAACCAATACCCTCCCGGCCAAAATTTCAACAGAAGCAATGTCGAAGGCCACATCAATCACAGAGTCACAGACACTTTCAGATCAACCCTTGAGCTATAATCCATCTTTAATTGAAACCCAATATTTCCTATCCCCAAAGGGGTTTTGGGGTTTTGGGGTTTTGGGGTTTTGGGG